TTGTGCCAGAAGAAACGATAAAAAAGAAGGTGTCAAACAATCGTGGTGAATGTTAACTGATGCGAAGAGAAGTAAGCAGAACCAGAATAATTTATACAAGGACAACATCATTGTAAAGAAAAATCAATTTTGAAAGACTTAAGAACTGTGATCAACACAGTGACCAATCATGTCACCAGAGGACCTTTAATGAAGGCTGTCCACCACCTACTGACAGAGAGCTGATGGACTCGAGATACAGAAAGAGACATACACTTTTGGACATGGCCACTGTGGAATCCGTTTTGACTTGCTTATCATTTGTAATTTCCTTTCCTCTCAGGGGTTTGTTTTGTTTTGTTTTGTTTTTGGTGAAGCAATTGGGGTTAAATGACTTGCCCAGGGTCACACAGTTAGTATCAAGTGTCTGAGGCCAAATTTGAACTCAGGTCCTCCTGACTCCAGGGCTGGTGCTCTATCCACTGAGCCACCTAGCTGCCCCTCCTTTCAGTTTTCAATTGGGATGGAGGGTTTGGAGTGGAAAAGGGAGGTGGGGAGAGAATGGGGGAGAGGGAGGAAAAAGGTGGGGAGAGAGAAGAAGATTGAAAACTTTTTTTTTAATGCACAGAAAAGAACAGAAAAGCAGCATGTACACTTTATTATATACTTTTTTTTTAAGGCAAACAGCGTGAAATGAAGATTTCCATTTCATACACAATCTTTTATGTTCTGATGTATATATGGAAATGATCACTTGGGGGAGGGGCAGTTTAGAATTTGAAAAACTAAAAAGAGAATACAGCTCCCTCCCTGATTTGGAGAGGTAGGCAATGACGAGTATGGAACCTGGATGCACTGGCAGACTTGGCTGGTGTACTGATTAGTTCTGCTGAGATGATATTTTTCCTTCCTGTTAGTTCTTCATTATAGGGGTTCACTCTGGATAGAGGGAGAGGGATATGTTGGGAAATGAATCTGATATAAAAATAAAAGTTAACAATAAAAAAAATTTTTAAGTTTGGCAAAAAAGTATGATGTTGTAATCATAATGGGGGACTTCAGTTATTCAGACCTCTGCCGCTGGGTGACTCAGCAGATAGGCTGCTTAGGCCTGGAGTCAGGAAGGCCTGAGTTTAAATCTAGCCTCAGACACTGACTAGTTGTGTGACCCTGAGCAAGTCACTTTACTTCTGTTTGCCTCGGTTTCCTCATCTATAAAAAGGGGATAATAATAGCATCTATCTCCCAGAGTTGTTGTGAGGATCAAATAAAGCACGTACTTAAACACAATGCCTGGAACTTAGTGCTTTATTTATTATTTATTAGGATGATTCTTCTTGTTTCTCCCGTTTACCTTATTATTTAAGTATTTACCTTATTATTTAAGTATTTACCTTATTATAAGCAAAGGCATCTTGCTTTCCCAGGACTGCTGATTTCAGTCTGCTAGCAGTTCAGGTAGCTCTCCCTGTAGGCTTCTAGGAGAGCCCTGGGCCCTGGCAGCCATGGCCCAGGGAAGCAAGCCCAGTGGGTTTGGGCCCTGGCATGCAGCAGATGCTACAGCCCTGACCTCCTCAGTAGCCATAATTAATGAAAACCAAGAAAAGGAAACTGTCGCCACCAAAGCCCACATTGCCAATCAAGGGCCTCACCATCACAAAGGAATCTGGGTTTTTGTTGTTTTGTTTTTGTTTTTTGGGGTTTTTTTTTTTGCTTTCTGGTGAGGCATTTGGGGTTAAGTGACTTGCCCAGGGTCACACAGCTAGTGTCAAGTGTCTGAGGCCAGATTTAAACTCAGGTCCTCCTGACTCCAAGGCCAAAGCTCTATCCACTGCACCACCTAGCTGCCCCAATCTGGTTTTAGAAACAGAAATAAGGAGCCGCCACCCCCTAAGGAAGATGAGATCTTTCCCTCAGACCCGCAGCTGAAACTTCCTATACATGTTTTCTCCTCCTATTAGAATGTGAGGTCTCTGCCTTGCTTTTCTACTTATGTTCTCCATGAGCCATACATTTACACTAAGTGCTTAATAAATGTTTTTTCATTCATTCATTCACCTATCTCTTATAGCACAGTAACATTCCAGTTCATTCATGTCCCATAATTTGTTTATCCAGTCCCTGGTTAACTAGCATCTACTATGCTTCCAGTTCTTTGCTACCACACAAAGCTCTGTGAAAGTCCATAAGTGAGGGGAGTGGGGGTGAGGAAGGGCAGAGGGTCTGTCTTTGACCTCCTTGGTCAGCCAAGGTGACTCCAACACCACCCAATAGCATCGATGCCAAGTTCTCAGGGATGAAATTCCTGTCACAAGGGCTGCAAATTAAGCATGGGACAGTCAGGTGACATGGAAGCCAAGAGTCCACTTAATCTGGGGGGGGGGTCATGAAGAGAGGTGTGGCTTCAGGTAAGTGCCCTGTCCACTGTGCCCAGGTCAGATCCCATCTAGGGCAGGAGATTCTCTTCTGGGAGCCACAGATAAGGGAGGATATTGGAGGAGAAGCAGGATGGCAATGGGCCATGGCATCTGAGTATCAACTGAAGCAACCTGGACTGTTTAGTCTGAAGGAGACTCAGAGCCATGAAGGCTGTCTGCAAGTATTCAAAGGGCTGTCACATGGCAGAGGGCTCCACCCTGGAAGAGAATATGCACATAGACTTTTTTTTTAGCTTTTTGGTGAGGCAATTGGGGTTAAGTGACTTGCCCAGGGTCACACAGCACACTGACTTTTAAAGGCACATTCTCTCCATCTCCTGACACAGGAGGCAAAAATATAGCCTGGGAATTTCTAGGGATGTTGGGTGGATGAGTAAAAGAAAGATCATGATTAAGAGCTAAAAAGAACATCATGTAGTCTAAACCCTCATTTTATAAGACAGGAAACTGAGGCCAAGAGAGGTAAAGAGACTTGTCCAAGGTCACAAGGGCAGTGAATGGCAGAGCTGGGATTTGATCCTCCAAGACTCTGACTCCAAGTACACTAAGCACCCTTTCCACATCCAGGAGTAATGTTGGAGAATGGGATTTGACTTCAGGACCCATGATTGATCAGCATTCAAGGTCTTTGTTAGACAGAAGGCATGAAAAGTTCTATGTAAAACTAGCAATCTAATGCTCAGGAAGAAAGAATTCAGGGAGGCTCCCCTAGAGAAAGCTTTCCACTAGAGAGGAGGAGACAGGAGCAAAGAGTAAAGTCCAGTGTTCACCTAAGTAAGTCAGAATTTCACCAAATTTCCAGTATAGGGTGGATGGGAGAAACCTAAGGTGAAATGACTCAGCCTTGGGTTTAGGAAGAGGAGGGGAGGGACCCAGACCTGTGATTTAATTGGTCAAGGGAATTCTCTGTAAGGACACTCCCTCAATCAAGAAAGAACAGCAGCCTGTGGTCTGGGGCGCTGAAGGATTTAATGATTGCTCAGTATCACACAACCACTAGATGTGACAGAGGGGAAGAACAGGGAGAAAGGAAGAGAAGGAAAGAGAATCAGCATGGATACAGTGTCTCAAATCAGTCAGGCACTGAGCTTAGGCCTTTTTTTTTTTTTTTTGGTGCAACTGTGGTGTTAAAAAAAAGTTTGAGAGATATAGTTTCTGGGTAATTTAATCATTTTATTAATAAAGCCAGCACATTTATTAATAAAAGGATGGTCATTTGGCCATCTCTCTTAGACTAAAAGACCCCTAATGGCTCACAATTTAGATGCCTTCGGAAAAGGGGGCATTCAATCAACTCTGATGGTTAACAATTAACAAGAAAATGAATGTTACAATGAGAGGTGGGCTATACATTACAATCATGGTCTTGGAGTAGTAACTTGGGTCACCCAAGTTGTAGTCAAAGACTGATCAATTCCTATATCACCTGCCTGACAAAAGGGAGGATCCACATTTTCCCAGATCAGTCCTAGCAAACCCAATGATCATGTAGGCACCCATTAGGGCAGCTAGGTGGTGTAGTGGATAGAGCATCAGCCCTGCAGTCAGGAGAACCTGAGTTCAAATCTGGCCTCAGACACATAACACTCACTAGCCGTGTGACGCTGGGCAAGTCACTTAACTCCATTGCCTAGCCAAAAAAAAAAAAAAAAATGCACCCATTAGCCCAAACTTCTACTGTCTGATTAGATCTTGGCTTGGGTACATCTTTAAGAGAGATTTCCCACACTGGCTTTTTTCTGGATGAGGAAGTAGAAATGGGGAAAAACTTGAGCCCTAATACAATAATTAGTTATTAAATACAGGAGAGAAATAATCATTTCTCACACAAATAGTATCTCATTTGATCCTCACAATAATCATGGGGAAAAAGTGCTGTTATTAGCCCCATTTTACAGTGAGGGAAACTGAGACAAAAGGTTAAGTGACTCACCCAGGGTCACAAGGCTATTGTCTAAGGCCAGACTATAGACCCAGAGTTCTATCCAATGCACCAGGAGCTGCCTCAGTTCCTCTTCTATGAGTAGCCTCGACTTAAGCCAAGTGTTCCTGCCTCTAAGGCCAGCTTTCTGCCCACTAGGTGTCTTGGAAATGGGAATAAAGCAGGGAAATCTAGTGGTGACATCAAATTTAGAGCTAGAAAGGGTCTTAGAAGTCACTTAGTACAACCTTCTTATTTCACAGAGGTCAAAACTGAGTCCCAGGGTGTGCAGGATCCCAGGTCAGCCCCTCTGCTTTCCCTCCAGGGTGTGCCCACTTGGTACCTGCACATATCCTGGGCTATAGAATACTGGGGGGGGGGGGAGGGTTGGGGGCAGAAGGGTGCCATGATCCCCTGTGGGGCATAACCCAGTTCTTTTTTGGCTGGCACTGAGTCCCAGGGCTGCAGCTAATAAGGCCCCCAAGGCATGTCGGGGGCAGTGGGGAGAAGAGGAGGCAGCGGGTGGGTTCGGGCAGAAACTTCTCTCTGAGGCACTGGTGAAGCACCTGCTGCCACAACCCAGAGGGCACCTGCACTGCTCCTCCACAGGCTGGCAACAACTTCTTCCAGCCCCAACGGTGGGTCTGGCAGTGACTGACTACCTGGACGTGGGCAGCTGCTCCGGAACCGCCTCGGACCTCTGCTGGGGCTGATCCTCCAAACGCAGCTCCTCTGCCAGCAGCGCAGATACACAACCCGGACCGCCAGCATCCTGAGCTGTCCGATCTAAAGGGATCAAGCTGGGAGCTGGCTGGCGGGGGCCGCGGGTCCTCTCGGAATCCGGCCTCCTCCCGGGTCGGGCGAGAGGGCAAGTGCTATGGGGAGCCCCAAAGGGCAGGGGAGCCCGTGCAGGCGCTATGGGGAGCCCCAAAGAGCAGGGAAGCACAGGGGAGCCCGTGCAGGCGCTATGGGGAGCCCC